AGGCAATTGTGCTACCCCATGCGCCACCGTGCTTTCCTGTAGTGTAAAATATATTATTAAAATGCATTTTTAAATAGTAAATAAAAACATATAATTATTATTATAATAATTATTATATAAATAGCTATATAAAAATACAACATACAGTTAATGTAAATGTACAATGTACACAATCATGTATTTAATCTATAAATATGTATATGTGAACATTATTGTGATTTAAGTCCACTTGCAATATGTAACACCCACATTTACATACACAAATTTTAGATTCAATATACAAATCTATATTTATTTAAATATTCAGTGTTGGGGAAGGTCATTTTTGAAAGTAATGCATTACAATGTTGAGTTACTCCTCAAAAAAGGAGTTATGTACTTATTTTTTATGGAAAGTAGTGCATTACGGCACTGCCTGAGACTTTTTTTAATAGAGGGGCTTTGCTTTTAACAACACACTGTATAACCTTTATTCACAATTGAAGTCAGAATTATTAGCCCTCCTGAATTATTAGCCCCCATGTATTTTACCCCCAATTTCTGTTTAACAGAGAGCAGATTTCTTCAACACATTTATAAACATAATAGTTTTAAAAACACATTTCTAACAACTGATTTATTTTATCTTTGCCATGATGACAGTACATAACATTTGACTAGATATTTTTCAAGACACTTCTATACAGCTTTAAGTGACATTTAAAGGCTCAACTAGGTTAATTAGGCAGGTTAGAGTAATTAGGCAAGTTATTGTATAATGATGGTTTGTTCTGGAGACAATCGAAAATATATATCGCTTAAAGGGGTTAATCGTTTTGTCCTTAAAATGTATTTTAAAAAATTAAAAACCGCTTTTATTCTAGTCAAAATAAAACAAATAAGACTTTCTCCAGAAGAAAAAGTATTATCAGACACACAACAATTTCCTTGCTCTGTTTAACATCATTTGGGAAATATTTAAAAAAAGAAAGAAAATTGTTGACTATAACTGTATCTTTAAAAAATAAAAATTATAATAATAAAAAAAGATAAAAAATAATGTTGCCTTCTGAGAACTTTCTGATGCTAAACATGCCGTACACGGAAACAATTCTTTGGATTTACTTATTTATTTATTTTTACGTCAAGTTATTGCAAACAATTTATTTGGGCTGAATTTAAACAAACAAATTAACTTGAACATTATTGAACTAAATTTGTTTGTTTAAATTCAACACAAATAAATTGTTTGCAACAGTTCTGCATGCAATACTTTTTTCAGTGAGATTAATGAAAGTTGTAAGCAATGTTTTTACTCCTTTTTGTTTTTGTCTTAGTTCAGTGAAGTCACTGTCCATTGAGACTATAATCCCCTTTTCTTCCATGTGTTCAGAATGATGAAAATACTTTTATCACAGAAATGAAGGCTCTGCCATTTTGATTTCTGTCTGTTCCTGTGGGGACTGCATTCTCTTATTGAGTGTGATCCAACGTGATTACACAAATTTTGATTCAGCTAATTATTTTTTAAAGCGAACTGATCTAAAAAGTAACTCCCCTTGACAGCCTGAAATATCAAAAGTTTGCGTTATTATATACACACACACACACAAACACACACACACACATATACATATATATATATATATATATATATATATATATATATATATATATATATATATGAGCAATATCACATGAGTAGCACTGTGTTATGGCTGTATATCGGCACTGGTGGGAGGCGTTTGGCAGAGGGTTGGCAGAGGTAGCAGACTGAGTGCCTTAGTGTCCCACCAGTGCTGATATACAGCCATATCGCACTGCTACAAGTAAGATATTGCGCTTATACAACAGTTCGACGGAACAATCGTGTATATAAATAAGAAAAATCGAACACGGAGAGTCTAAAAACCCCTTTTTATTAGGAACTACTTTCTTCCGCCATTCATTCACATCTGCAGCTGACATCAGAAAAGCAGAAACTGCTAATTCACCAACATCACTTTAGAGCTAGTATTTGAATGACTCTCTTTAGCCTAATGTCTAAAGTGATGATAAAACAAGTGATTTTGCTCACACTTTAAGATTTTAAGGCTGAACGTGACATGAAATGCCATCCATCTACAGAGATATCTTCTTACAGTGTTACAGTCTACAGTTTTTTTCTGTTGCAATCAGGATATCACAATAATTAATCCCGAAAAAAAGCAATGCAGTCACTACCAGACTGCTGTTGTGTTTGTGAGCAAATCGGTATAAATACAGCACTGCAGCATACAAAAGAGAGAGATCGACTTATAATATCACTTACCAGCATACCTGCCAAGATGTCTGAAAATCCAGGAGACCGGGTGATCGGGGTGAGGTCTCTGACACTGTTGAGAACCGGGATAGGATGCAGTGGGTTTTGGGTGACCACTGCGATCAGGTACTATACCAAAGTTGGCAACCCGGGGGTGTTTACAGACTGTACCAAAGGAGTTGCATTGGTTTATTATGTGGTGTAATACATAAAGGTGAAGCGTGAAGAGGGCTTTGTGTGATTTTACTGGCAATATATTGCACAGCAAACAGATTCAGAAAGCAGACAGAACTGTTGTATAAAATATATATAAATCATTTACTAAGCATTAGCAAATAGTAAATTCATTATCTGTTTAGAATTAACTCAACATTAATAAACATCATTAAGAAGGTTATAACTGCAGCTACAAATGCTGTATTCTTGACTTCAAAACATATTTAAAATGTGCTTAATAAATATACTTTCATACTTTGTTAATGATTTATTTTTCATTACTTAAGGAAGTATCGCATTATTTACAAACCATTTGTATTGAAGAGTAGTTGATGGTTTTTAGGATCATTCAGAATGAGTTAGTAAATGATTAATAAACTACTGAAATCAACGTTTATATGTCTTATTATTCAGGCATATGTTAATGGTTACTATGCATGTTAATAAATGCTTTATTAACTCAACTTCATGGAGTTTTGTGACCTAATCTAAAGTGAGGACTATTTATGCTTTATAAATTCCTTATAAATGACAAATAAGGATTAAGGAAATGGCTTCCTGTACAGCAATGGAAAGGTTGACTTATTCAATCAAACAAAAAATGCACATATTCTACAAGATTTGGGACTTCTTCCTTCATTTTTTAAATAACAGTGGACTGACTGTTTAGTAATCCCAAACAATGTGACTGTTAAAATACACTGTGTTTGTAATGACTAACTTTAATATACTTTCACTGGAACGTATATGTTGAAATGTCAATGTTTTAATGGTATTTATTTTTTATATATTTTAAATTTTTAACAAAATTGCCCTTTTTATTTTTATCTTTAAGTTTATTTTAGTTAATCTTTATTTTCTATTTATTTGTTTTTGTATTACTTTCCTCGCATGAGAATGCATTTTTTTATTCTATTCCTTTCTTTTTTTAATTTTTATTTTGAACGTTGGGATGGGGCGGGAGTTCTTTGATTGGTATTTGGTTACTAATACAGTTTGAATGTATCACACCTTTCTGAAATAATAAAAGTGTTAAAAAAATAATAAAAAAATAAAAATAAATGACAAATAAAGGCTCAGTTAAATTCTAAACATGAAAAATGACATAAACTACATTATTCAAATGTAACTACTACAAATGAAAAATAAATCTGCAACCCTATCTAAAAACACTGTAGAGTTTAAACATTGCATCTTATTATATAGTTAAAATATTATATTGTTGTTGTTTTATCCAGTTTCATGTTGTATTTTGACACTTCTGTTATTTCGCAATGGTTAAAGCCAGGGGTGGCCAACCCTGTTCCTGGAGAACCACCTTCCTGCAGATTTCAGTAGCAACCCATATCAAACACACCTGCCTGTAATTATCTCGTGGTGTTCAGGTCCTAATTAATTGGTTCAGGTGTGTTTGATATGGGTAGCAGCTGAAATCTGCAGGAAGGTGGCTCTCCAGGAACAGGGTTGGCCACCCCTGGTTTAAACTATACAGTCATTTTACTTTTTAGATAAGATTGCAAAGATTATTGTTCATTTGATACTGAGCCTTTAAATGTTATTTATAAGGGATTTATAAAGCATGAATAGTCCTCACTTTAGATTAGGTCACAAAACTGCATGAAGCTGAGTTAATAAAGTATTTATTAACATATTAGTTAACTATTAGTATGTGTCTGAATAATAAGACAGATAAATGTTGATTTCAATAGTTTAATAATCATTTACCAACTCATTCTGAATTTTCCTAAAAACCCTCAACTGCTCCTAAATACAAATGGTTTGTAAATAACGCAATACTTAATTTAGTAATGAAAAATAAACCATTAAACCATTAACCATCAAGTATGAAAATACAATTAAGCACATTATATAAGTGCTTATATGTCAAGAATACAGCATTTGTAGCTGCAATTATAAACTGCTTAATCTAGAGTTAATGCTTAACAAATAATTAATTCACAAGATGCTAATGCCTTATAAATGATTCATAGTGTGTAGTTATTATAAAGTGTTACCAAATTTATTTATTTTTTTCCCCTCATATTACCAAACAACGTGCTCAATCACACGGTTCGGGCCGGGGCACATATATTTTATTCTCTCAGAGAATATATTTGTTTATAATTCATAAATTTTATTTATTTTATTTTGAGGGGATAGTGGGAAAATAAAAAAACTAAGGCAGTCTTTAATTTGTTCTATGCTATATTGTATATTACTATGTATAGTCTTGTTAAACACCAATAAAAATAAATAAATAAAATAAGGTAACTCAAATATTTTTACTTATTTTTTTAAGTAATGTGTGACTTTACGTGTTACTTAGAAAAGTATTATTATTACATCACTCGCGTTACTTGTATTGCAGTACCCCCAACGCTGTAAATGTGTATATATTACAGCAGTATAAAAATCATGTTTTTCTCTGGTAAAATTGCACAATGACAGAATCTACGCATAACTATCAATAATAAAATGTCAATAATTTGCTCTCCAACACAGCTTTATTCCCATCTCATCCTTTATTTTGTTCATGAGCAAGCATCAACTTCACTACAATTATTCCTCGGAATAATAGAAAAGTGAATGAGCTGGAAGGCAGCATCCAACAGTTCTACGACATCCCCATGTTTCATTTCTAGAGCAAAAAAAAATAAAGTAATCCAAAAACGTGAACAATGACCACCGAAGGCTGCAAATCTGTGACAGATAATCTTTGATTCAGTAGTATATCGCCATCTACACCACTCTGAACACACACATCCATGTGCCAGTTTACAGCAAATATTCAGATCTGTGTTACACATGCAAAAAAACAAAAAAACAATGCCCCGATAGACTGCAACCGATCGCAGCGGTTCACATCCAGCACAAACTGCCTGTTTATTATGGAAGTTTCTGCGTCGGTGTCTTAAAATCACATCGTTTTCCCTTGAGAACCAGCAGATGAATATATTTGCATCAGGGGAAAAGGAGGGAGGATAGAAACAATTGTGCGATTTTGATTTTATTTGAAATCTTTCAGTACAAACATTTAATCTACTGAATTTGGTCTCATGGAATGGTCTACATCGATCAAACGTCTGCAATACACCGTGAGCGACTATTACATTTGAGTGAGAAACGGTCATGTTTCGGCTCCTCGTGAATTTCATGCTGCGCTTCACAGCGTTTTCAGGAAATGCACCTTTCACTATACACATATATGCAGCCTATTATTATAATAATAATGTACATCTTTTCAAAGTGAATCTCCTCAAACAGGATTTATTACAATATTTATTGATGAGAACAGTATGGACCTATTTTCTCTACACATCGACATGAACACGAGACATCTATGTAGGACAATTAAAACGTCCACTCTTGATAAAACTAGCTGTTGATCCCTATTGTAACCAAAAAAATAATCAGAATTAAATAAGATCACTTCTCCAGACCTGTACCAAATCTAAGAATTAATAATTAAAAAATTGCAAAGAACTAAAAAATGGCATGGATGAGTGTTTGGTTAGTTGTGTTATTAATGCGCTGTGATAGGCAAAAGGCACTCCCAACTCCACCAGCTGAATTATAGACCATTATTTATTCACTTGCTTATTTATTATTTCTTAAAACCACAATTTTTTGAAGGGGGACCTGATAAAAACGCCTACCAATAAAAGGGGTCACAAAAATAGACCTTCTAATCGACTTTGTACCTTTTCTGACATGACAAATAATTTTCGATCCACCAATCACCGCCACATAATTTAGGCTGAGAACTGAGAACAGACATGCATGTAAACAAAACGAAGGAACTGAATGCAGTACCCTAAAGCTTCACATCCGTCTTATACGAAACAATCAGTCAAAGTACAATCTGCTAGATAACTGACATTCTTTTTCAAGCCCAATGGGAGCGGAATAGTATTTTCCCCAATAACTGACCACTTTCGGAGGGGGGTGCATCCCGAAATGTCCAATCACAGTAAGGAAATGAAACGATGGTATGATTCTGAGAGCGACTACCAGGAGAAATGACCTGCAAATCTGGAGTAGATTGATAGTGTCACCCAAAAAAACGAAGGAATAAAAGTTTACCAAATGTAAACAAATATCTTTACACAACTCTGCAGTACATGTACAATAAAATCTAGCGGCCATCCTGCAAAAATAGTTGAAAAGGGTTGAAGTTAATTCTTTTAACGCGCTGTGATAGCCCTTGTTATGTATTTAGGGGCTTCCAAATGACTAGAATCATGTGGATTAAAGCAAGAGTTCACCCAAAAAATGGCATTTTCTCAATTTGTTTCCAAACCTATGTGAATTAAAAGATCATTTGAAGAATGCTGGTAACTAGACAAATCAATGGCTACCACTAGCTGTTTGGTTGCAAACAATCTTCAAAATATCTATTGGGTTCAACATAAGTCTAAAACAAGTAGAGTACATGAAGACAGTTTTGGGGTGAACTCTCTTTAATCCTGAATTATATTAAACAAAAATAACCCCCCGGTTATGTAACCGAGCATCTTAAGCAAGCACTTCACCAACTGAAGTCTATTGCAGTGCTCACATTGTCGATAATCACCAGCACACCCATTTTTTTCAACGTCATTTCAGTCATAAATGTTATTCAGACTGGGTTATGAGAGTGCGTACTGTGATTCCAAATTGGTCTCTATTATTTATGAGAGGAAACCCAAGCACTATCACTTCAGAATGGCTTAAATAACTGCAGTGTGCCTAAACTGTACAACATACAGTACCACAAGAAGAAGAAAATAAAACAAATAACAACAACCGTATATTCATCATCACCTGAATGTGATTATTAGTCACTGGATTTAAAACATTGAAGCCTTGGTGTAGCATTTGTGCCATTGCAAGCCCAGCTAAAATTAGCATATGTAAAGCACTGAACCAACTCGACAGTACGAAACCAAACGGAATGAAAGGAAAAGATGCGCGCGCACCCACCTCCAAGAGAAAAGACAAAATGAACGACACTTTGCCACAGAAACCTCAGCCTCAGTCATGGGTTTCTCTCCGTGAAGCGGACGTCTTTTTTTGTACGAGCGTGAGATTTACCGAAGGTTTCTGAAACATGCTAAGAGCATCTGACATAAATGTTCTACAGCAGGTACACTGTGCCTTTTTTTTTCTTTTTTTAAAGATACCGGAAACCGCTGGTTAGGCTTTCACTAACACACTGACTAATTACATGGTCTTATTTACAAAATATCAAAAAGCGGTTGTATTCTTCCATACCCATGATTGCAAATCTTGCCATGCAATATAAAGAGGGAAAAAGGAAAAGTCATCGGAAAGCATCCTCAGAGCAAACCAACCCTTAAACCTCATGGTGCATTATGTGGAGTATACAGTAAATCATTTCCCGGAGAAAATAAGAAGTGTGGAAAATGCAAACGTAGGCCAAAATTCCAGAAAAAAGCTGAATAAATTAGGAAGTTGTATTGAGATAGCTGTGATACTATACTACACTGAATACCACCACAATATGATGTCATTAGGGAAGCCTCAGCGGGTGGGAATGAAGCGGACTGCAACACCTGTCACGACAGACACCGGATATATTCGCTTTTATATTGTACATATATCTGCGCTTATACGCATGGCTCCTTGGGTAGGGGGAACAAGGGCGTCCCTATTGGCAGAGGGATGTGACTGTGAGGGGTGGCTTTATAGTTGTGTTTGTGTGTGTGTTTTTGTAATTGTAGTAGTGTGTACTGTGTGGATCAGTAGGTGAGAGTGGAGTCGTCCCACTCCAGCTGCTGCTGTCTGCTGGAGCCCTGCTGATCCTCCTGTTCTCCGGCCTCATCCTCGCTGCTGTCCGACTCTGCGCTGGTGATGTCGTCTTCCTCCTCTCCATCCTCGCTTTCCTCCTCTTCCTCATCTCCTTCCTCTTCGCTGCTGTGCTGGTCCTCGTAAGTCTAGGAAAAATGAAAGAGTCAGCTGAAATGTTTCCTTGAAGTCCACCCCTAAGACTTTACTTTAGTGTTTTAATAATTAAACAGCAATATTGAATGTCCATGATGCTCTGATGCTGCAAGTAACTAAAAAATATGTACTATTTTTATTAAGTGTTTTAGATGGATGGATGGATATATGGATGGATGGAACGATAGATAGATGGATGGAGGGATGGATGGATAGAAAGATAGATTAGATAGATTGACAGACAGACAGACAGACAGACAGACAGATATAGATAGATAGATAGATAGATAGATAGATAGATGGATAGATGGATAGATGGATGGATGGATGGATGGATGGATGGATGGATGGATGGATGGATGGATGGATGGATGGATGGATGGATGGATGGATGGATAGATAGATAGATAGATAGATAGATAGATAGATAGATAGATAGATAGATAGATGGACAGACAGATGGATGAACGAACGGACGAACGTACAGACAGACAGACAGACGGACAGATAGTTAGATAGAAAGATAGATGGATGGATGGATGGATGGATGGATGGATGGATGGATGGATGAAACAGCAGTGCATAAACAATAATGCATAGGAGTAATATTAGCTATATCATATGTAAGCTACATCAAACAAATTTGATGACTGTAATAAAACATGCTAGCAATATGCTAACATGTTAACAACGTCCTACATGCACATTAGAAATGTGCTTAAACATGATAAAAATATTAAAGCTGAACAGCCAGCAAGAAATGTCAAAATTGTTAAAACATGCTAACAGTATGCTAATGCATATTAGCTGTTCAAACATTTCATACATGTTAGCTACATAGAACAAACATGACGATTAGAATAAAACAAGGTAACAATATGCTGCGAACACGTTAACTTCATTCAACAAATCCTTTAAAATCTGCTTAACATGATACAAATATTAAAACATGCTAGTAATGTTAACACATTAGCTACATCCAGCAAGAAATGTCCTGAAACATGCTAAAAATTTGCTAAAACATGCTATTGCATATTCAAGTTCAAGTTACAACATGGTAATGCATAGTAGTATCGCTGATTATTTCATAAGCTATCTCCATCAAACAAACACTACAACTGTGATATGACATGCTAATAATATGTTAACACATTAACTTTGTCCAACAAACACATCAAAAATGTGCTTAAACAAGATAAAAATATTAAAACATACTAGTAATGTTAACACATTAACTGCACACAGCAAGAAACGCCTTGAAATGCTAAAAATGTGTTAAAACATGCTAATAGTATGCCTATTAGCATATACCATTTCATACACATTAGCTACATCAAACAAACATGAAGACTACAATAGAACATGGAAACATAATGCTAACACATTAACTACATCCAATAACCCACTTTAAATGTGCCCAACATGATTACAAGACTAAAATATGTTAGTAATATTAACATATTAGCTACATCCAGCAAGAAATGCCCAAAAACATGATAAATGTGATAAAACACGATAACAGCATGCTAAAGCATATTAGCTGTGATTACATAATAATAC